CTGAAACGTGAAATTTATGAAACTCGTCTAAGATAAGAACTTTTTGAAGCAAACTTAAATCCAGCAGTGACTGCAAGATTCACGAGTCTAGAACAGATTCCACTTTTTTATTTCGAGGATGCTTCGAGAATGGTTCGAACCTCCAGCGGATTCAAATGACTTTCACAATGTAATAATTTTATAGATTTTATAGATTCAAATGACACAATAACAAATTTTATAGATTCAAATGACAATAAGAGAAATAAAATTTTGATACTGCTATTTTTTACCATAGATTCATCTTCCTCACACGCTGAACTGTCGGCATTTTCATCGATATTTCGGCGTTTACTGATTTCATTATCCCGTTTTTGTTTCCGTAACTGTGCTGTGTTTGTTTCGCGTCGTTTCCGCATTTCCACCGATGTCATTCCTAACATTTATAAACTCATTATTTCTTGACGATCTTAATCAACATAAAGAATATTATCAGAATTTGACAAACACTTCAAAACTATCTACTCCTACCGACAGGATTTAACCCAAAGTAATGTAATAAAAGCAATTATATTGCTCATCTGTTTCCGGCCTTCCATAAACTTTACCGGTTTTACAAACAAAATTTTAAAAATCTCGAAAATTTGATAATTTTGAAAGCTGATTATTCTGATCGATCCATTACTTCCGTAAGAAGCATGAGAAGCCAAATTCTCGATCTTCTTTAATCATACGACCACTTCTTTCCGCAGTATAAGTACTCGTGCAATTCTTATTAATCAACGCATGCTTCTGATGAATCTTGTTTCGTTCCAGAGTAATGCTTCAGTTTTTTAAAAGGTCCCACGCTTATGATATGCGTGAACTTACAGTTGCCACATTAAGAAACACATGGAACAAGGAGACAGTCAAGTTTTTGAAGTGACAGTATAGCGAATATTACCTTTATTTTTATACATTGCTTCGCGCGATCCACCCGGCGAAAGCGCATCTACAGGAGATGCGAACATTGTTTCGTCACAGCTCATTACGAACCGAAATACAATGCCAAATATATTATATACTGATTACGTTCAGTTATTTAAACTGAAAGAATTCATTAATATTATTTAGAAGCTGAATTGTAGTCAATATTCAAATTAATGAAGTGCACGGAAGAACTCATTTGCAAGTAACAATTCATTTCTGCTGTTTATTTGTTCAAACAAAACCACTGAACAATTTGCTTTCATTTCAGCTGATTGCGAGGAAGAGGTAAATAGGAACGGAAATCAATAAAGTTGAAAACGTTACAAATTCAGAAGAGATGACACTGACGATCGCAAATATTTGTGGCTTCGAAATAATTTCGAGATGGACGCATATGCGACGAATCAGATTGAAATAATCAAAAATGTATCTGTCGATAAACTCATTTAAAATTCTATTCACAGTATACTACCTCCACATGAGCTGAAAACGTATAGCAAATTATTTTTCGAGTTCAAGCAAAACAAATTTTCAATTGTTTACGAACGACTCATCGATTTTGGATTTCGCTGAAGGTCAACTGATTTAGTTTAGGTGGAATCAACACAATCTGATGAAATTCTAGAATTTCAACACAACGATTGATCATTCTTTCGCACGTCTGGGAACATGCACGCAGACAATTTCGAGGAGTAAAACAGCAGCAAAGCTGTTTCGAAATCGTCAAGGAATAATAATATCAAGACGTTTGCGTGAAAATCATTTGATGCAAATAAAACATGTCAATAGAATGTGTCATATTCTACCAACATATAAACACGCATTGATGTGTG